TATAATTGAAAATAGTTAATATGGAAAATATATAGTTATGCTTTAGCTATCCATGCACAATGCAATCAATCAAGTGAGACTATATACCGCTAAAAGATTGTGTTCTAAACTGGCCCGTTTTACAGCGGATAAACTTTTTACAGAGACTGTCGCGCGACAACAACCTTAAACAAACTTTCTTTTTTTGATGCGAAGAATTGTTCTCCTTCTTACTTTGACTATTTCAATTAATTATTTTTGAATATTGATTCGAAGACAAATACTGACGCGTATTTCTTTAAAATTCATTCCACACCGTTAGTGTTCAACAATTGTTATTTAAGGGTTATTAATTAACAAATTGGACGAAGGTCTAGCCGGATTAAGCGCCAATTTTTTGACACATTCATGACACAAAAAAAATTATCTTTTTTTAGCATTTTTCCAGATTTTTAAAACTCTTTTTAGAATGAGAAAAAAAATAAAATCGAAAAACACGTTTTTTTAATTAATAAACATTAGGGGATCAAGATAAATTCTTTTTGGGATCTTTTTGGGTCATAAATATGTCAAGAAATTGTCGTCTTGAAATACACTGGGGGCAGATTCACCATGCTGATCCAGCTGGACGGTTTTTATTCATTACGAAATGTAATTTCATGAGCTCTAATCCCAATTTTTTATCAAATGTTTTCTTATAATTTCTGAAATTGTAACTAGATTGAGAAACTTATCCAGTGATTTATCCCCCATTTAATTTTATGGTACACTTTCCTCAAGTTGTGTGAAAAAATGATTGCTTGAAAAAAAAAGAACAATTAGGATCGTTACTCAAAACAATTGATTTTACCCTTGAAGCAAGAATTATTTTCTCTGTTTAAGCACACAACTAAAATTTACGACGTAAACATGTCAATATCACTTTGAACTTCATTTAATGAAGAAATAAAAAGACCACGAGGCAATATAAATGACGTGTAAATCCAAGAATGAATATGCAATGACCTCACATAATTAGAAATAGTTCTTAGACGCTCAATAAGTCATCGAGTATTCTGCAGCCCTCCTTCCCCATGCATAAGATAATTACACATTTGTCGTATTTATTCTTCTATAAAACATGAATGTCACAATACGGAGCGTAAAATCACTTCAGAAAACACTGTACAAAGGGATTAGTTGGAACTCTTTGTCCACGTAGTCACCACTAGAATAAACCAAAATTGGCAGCAGAAGCTGATTAGCCAATAGCATTAGCCATCGATCAGAAGATACAACTGCTGGTAACAGCTTGAATTGAACTCCCACCTGATAAAATAGAAAAAAAATACCACAAAATCCACATTTACAGCTGTGGACGATCGAAGTGTCTAGATGAATTCCCATAATCCACTAAACGCGATTAACTGGTGAACAGAGACATCTTATCATGCGTCTGGATGATTAGAAGAGGGGGTGTTGATGATGATGCATCTGAACGACTGATGTATGTGCATTTCCCTGTCGGTATTGTGGATATGAAATATGGGCAAAGAACAAATAATGATTATGCTAATTCTGGTGAATTCCATTCACAGAACTTCCACCGTATTGACACGAGAAAATTTATGTCAATTGGCTCTGTAAATTCTACCTGAAGTGAATGACACTCTTTCAGGTTTCCTATTTTAATTCTACTAATCCGAAAATAAACGAATCCTACAAAAAAGTAGCCCCTCTAAATGTTACAGTAAATATTACAGTATATTTGGAATATTACTACACTGTGATGTCAGAAAGGAAAATACTACATTGTCAAAATAAGACAAACAGAAAAAATAATCTATCCTAGGAATTCTGCGAGGTTATAGGTGTTTTATTTTATTTGCTTTATTATTTGCACGTTATAAATTTTCTCTCGATTGATGAATTCTCTTCTATTTTTATTTGCCACTGATTTTGTAACTTGCTGGCATATATCATTCCCTTTGATAAATCTTCAAGTTCTAGTTTTTTATTTTCTATTAGTGCGATGCTTTCGATTGAATGGCATCCTGGAGTAGATTTCTTTGGCGACGTCACGATTTTTTGTAATATTTTACTTTATTATAATTTTTTTTCATTTTTTTTATTTTATTTTTTTTTTTGTATTTTTCTATTGTCTTATTTTGACCGTTATTTTTCATAATATTGAGTCTTTAGATAAATTATTCATAAGAATAAATTAATATGTTTATGATATTATATAACGGAGATATAACGGATTTTCAGATATAACCGGGAGATAAAATCATAATTTTTTCGAAAAATAGTGCAAGGGAAGGAAATGATCGGATTACAGATGACCGTAGGATAATATTTAAAATGGTCAATGACTTTTAAATTCCATTGTGCAATGTTTTTGTTAAAATTCAGCGCTTCGCAATTGAGTGCACATATTCACTTTCATATGGAACAATGTAAAACAACTAAATAATCAACGTATCTTTCCTCTATTTACGAGTTTTATGAGCATACATAATAGTACCATACATATGCGAATAATTTACGCCTGAGAGGAGGTAACAGGTCCACAAAAGGTCGCGTGCAAACCACTGTGCACATAATAATCATGAACATAACTCTGTTCTTTTTATTTCTATTCCATTATGCTTTAGTTGGTTTAACCGTTTGAAGACTGCCCGTGACTGATTTCATTAAGCTAAGGATGGTTGTTACCATAACAGCAAAAATTTGCAATACTGTTAATACTGCTTTTCGAAGGGCTATTACGGACAATTAACTTTGATTTATTTGAGTTTTGCCTTTACGTCACAGCTGTCGACAGAATCACCATCTCTCAACTTGAATCGAGATGAGTCTACGACTGTCAAATGCTATAAAGTTTAATGTTCAGTCGTAAATGTTAAGATTTTTCACAACAAATGGAAGTGATTTGGAGAAATTGGAATATTTAATTTTACTACTGTCTTCCAAGGACTTTCGGGCATCAATTCCATTTGCTATATCAACAGCCATTCGAAATTTCTAGCGCTTTGATCATGATCGAAATTGATGTAATTATAATTCTAGATTAATTAAAATTCACCAATCTATGTATGGAAATTTTTATGTTATAAAAATCATGCAAACTGAGAGAAAATTAAACACAGATTTCTTTAATTACTTTAATTTTTTTTTATTCAAGTAGGCTCCGAGTGGATTACAATAATTGGAGAAATGCAATCAATCAATATGATTATTATCAATCCCTTGAACTTGTTAATTCAGGCAAAAGAATATTTTTATAATTTTGCAAGTTACCATTCATTCTATTCAATCTCATTTTATAACAAATATTCAATCATTATCATTGAGTGAAACTCCGGGGTTTAATTGATTTTTTTTATTGCACATGGAGAAAAAATTTCATAAAAATTACGTGCCTGTTCTGTCATCTGCCAGTCACAACAGTATCCAGTATAAATTACGGAACAGCTACGCCCTTGTTCACTGAACGTTCAGGAAACCGTATAGAACGTTCCGGAAAAAATACGGAACGTTCAAGAAAAAATACGGAGCGTTCAGTAAAAAAAACGCGTAATTATGTCATAATTTTTACTGAATACTGTTTGGACTGGAAGGTTACGGAACAGACACGTCATTTTGGATGAAATTTTTCTCTTCCTCCGCCAACATTACCCCAACATTGCCCTGACGCTACGCCAACGTTACGCCGACGTTACGCCGATGCTACATCGACGTTGCCGATATAAATAAATAAATCTTAACAATCGTCAGTCAATTATTAACTGTGATAGATTCTGGGTAATCAACAATCGAATTAAATTTTTGTAATAGAAAATCTAATATCAAAAAGAAGAGCCGGTTCAAGTGATACAATGTTATTCCATATTGATTACATAATTTTGTAAACTTGCTATACGAGGCGAAAGTTATTTAAAAAGTTACTACTTATCGCACGATATTTTCTCATGAATTACATAAATTTTATTTGTCTCCTGATAGGAATTCAGGTACTGCCCCCTTACTACACGGATTCTATTTGTTATTTTAGTTTAAATAATTTATAGCGATCTTTATAAGAATAATTTACTGTTTCAGAATCTTTCCATCATTTTTCATGCTTTTTGATGATTTCTGATTGCAGGATGACTGCCTTAAACATTCCCGTCTAATTAAGCAGTAATTTTCGTTTACCATTACATGTTTTATGAATTGTTTATAACCAACATATCAATCTTAATAGTAGAAAATTATCCCTCCTGGAAAGAACAAGGAATTTTTACTACAATTCATTATACAGTATTATGATTTCTGATGAGTTTTAGGAATTTCCGCTATTCTTTAACTCAGTAAAAATTCGTCGCGGTAGGCGGGAAATGTTTTAACTAAAAGTTTAGATGAAATTCAACTGCCAATTTAATTTCAATGAATTCCAAACTACATTTCGCAGTAAATTAGAAAAAGGAGATTCGAACCGACGAAAACTATCGATCTCCTTCCACCCTGGTGTTACGCTCGTAACCATAGTTTCCCAGTCCGGAATAAAAATAAATAAAACGAAGGAAGAGTATTCTGCGGATTATTGAGAAGTTTTCCGTTCATCAATTTTTATTCTCTCTCTCTACGTTCTCAAGGATCTCAGTCACTTACGATAATAGATCAAATGGAGCGTTTTGAATATATTGGACACAACCACCGAATTATGAGGAAATGAAGTCAATCCTTCATTTCCGGTTCATCGACATGTAAAAAAACGATTATCTTTAGTGAATTTGTTTATTTAATTTGACTATTTGAATAATGGCACCGCCTGCTTAAACCGCGCCCATTGGTTCCCAAATAATCGATATATCCTGATCGTTGACGAGGGAGAAAGAAAGAGGAAGATCCCACCACAGCGTGATTTTATGTTACTCACGTTTAGAATAATTGCTATCCAATTATTTCATGATTTAATGATCCTCATTGACTGTTTTTTCGTCTAAGCTTCACTAATTACTTCTTAAACTTAATTGACGGATTCTCATTCAGTGTTCCGTTCCCATTAAAGATGTTCTGTCGGTATTTTGTTATTTTTCCTATTTTTCTGAAATTTATTGAAAACTATCGATCCGATTGGGATATGAAAACATAGCGTTTGTCCGTTACGTCATGATTTATCCTCTCACAAAGTTTCATCCCGATACACCAATTTTTATAACTTTTCACTAAAATTTATTGATTTTTTATTCAGCCAGCGAAACATCCTTAACTTGTAACTAATAATTTTTTCTAATTGTTCACTTTGTGAACTGTCTCAAGTATCAAATCGCTTGTCCTATTTTTTACAAGAACAAAATTTTAATTATATATTTTAATTATAAAAATGGTGATTAAAAATTGTTAATTTAAATGAGTTCAAAATTCAAATTAGCCGGCTCAGACGACTGAACCAATGAGGAGGAAGCGTGACAGACATTCGAGATATCGATAGTCTCGATGTTTGTCCGTTTTAGAATGGGAATGATAATAAGATCGCGGGACTGACCACGACGTAGATCTTGATCGAAGAATTTTGATGGAAAGCAGTCAAGAAATACGGATCACCCGATAAACATGGAGCAGATGAATCAGGTACGGATTCTAGATCAGGTGCCAAGGTACCCCAGAAGTCCGTCCTTTTGTGTGCTCATAGTGGATGCTAGGGCGTAACCGATTTGTTGAATCAGGAATTTTAACCACTCGGTTCGCTGTTCGGTGAATGGATCGTTTCCACATGATTATGTTTTTATCATCAAACTCTGTTGATGATGCCAGGTTAGACGTTGTGGAATGGAAGTATTTCGTTACTTCAATTTCCAGAATATTCCTTAATTTTTTTTTTTCAATTATTCTTAATGAAATTGAGAATTAAAGTTTTTATATTCCCAAACTCCACAAAAACAAAATTACGAACGAATTTCATTGGAGGGTTTGAGAATTATGAAACTCAGAAATTCAACTCGTAGTTTCTGTATTTCTATATGAGATATTACTTTTAAAACGTATATTTGTTTATTATTTAATCTATATGACAAATTGCTTTTAGTTTTATCATAAAAATGAAGATGGATTTGCTAATCGAAGGTAAATAAAAGGATATTTACTCTTCAATAACCAGAAATTGTAAACTGTTTAATTATCATGGGGAATACCTTCTAATAATCACCTCAGATGTGACAATTACCGTTGCAGTCACAAACATTCGCTAAAATCCTCGAGGTAATATCAATGAGTTCACTTTACACGTTCGCGAAATTCCGCAAAAAATGAAAAAAAGTGAAACACGTGAAACATTGAAATCAATAAACTAAAATGAAAAACCGAAATCAACCGGAAGGGTGAAAAAGACTGAAAAGCACTGCATGATTGTAATATATTTACTGGGCATACGATTCAAGGGTGTAAATTTAACCTGATTGTCACGCACTTATCACTCAAATTACTCCCATATCTTTTTTCCTACATCCACTTATAAAAAATCGATATCCAACGGCAATTTATCGGAGATATATTCTCTTGATTCCGTGAAGGCGAGATCGATAAAGTTCAAATATTTACATCGCGACCGTGAAAATAATTAGAGCAATGCAGTAACTGATAAAAATAGATAGAATAATTTCCAACAATTATAATATCTCTACAAAACGAAATCTACCCAAAGTTTTCATATTTTTATCAATCGACTCAACTAAAAATCTATAAATAAATTCATCACTTTACTGCTAGAAGTGATCTTTTATGAAGGCAATAAAAGTCTCTATTGACTTCTGTTTTCATCTGAATTTGTCCACTAAGACAAAAAATACAATTCACAGAGTGAGAAAAACATTTGAATGGCAAAATATTTGTATCTCCTTCAAATATGCGTAGCACACTTGCAATGAATATATCAATACTGCCGCATCAATGAGTGTACAAACACCGTTCCGCTTATTTTCGGTTTAAAATATGGTAAAACAAAGTATGTTAATAAATTCACTGTAATCATAAAATGCACACTTGAATTAAGCATGATTCATACTTTATCCAAGTGTGCACGTTATGATTCCATTTTTTCCGTGTAGAAGAGCATGCAATGGGAATTATCTACTAAATAATTGAGTGGTATTAATCGAAATGTATAAATAATAGTGGGACTCACCCTTAGTCTTGCAGAAAAAGGTGATCGTCAGGATCCACGCGTCAGATAGGGTACCACGCACCCTGAGAAATCACTGCACCCATCACATGAGCAATGGCACCCACAAAACTCCTCATTTTACCATGGCGAAAACCATTTTGAATCTCACCTCCTCTTGATAATTCGCTTATACAACTCAAATTAACCTGCACACAAATCGCCCAACTTTCGCCCACTATTTTTCCTCGTGCACTCCACCGAAAAACGGCGCACCTCTGGCACCCCGATACGCTCCTGACCCCTCCCTTTTCCCACCAGCACGCGATTTCACTCGAGTTTGTACCGTGGAAAATCCATAAAATGTGCGACTGCGCGATATCATACGCCAAACTACCACTTCCACCGATTCGCTGATGTATTTTGATTTTAGGTTTATCTGTTATCGTCAACGGGAAAGGGCTCTTGTGGTCACCAGGCGTGAGATTAAACTAATGGCTCAAGGACTCGCTCCAAGTCTCCAGAATTACTCTTTTTCATTACTGCACTATTGGGACTTCCACTTGAATTTTTTAACAAAGAGAAAGAGACTTGAAATTCGCCGAAGGATTCATCATTGACGAATCGGTTATTCTTAACTTTATCTACCTTTGCCAAATTTTCTAGACTTATACTTCGCGACCTAGATTTCATCTTTAAATTTATTACCTTCAAATCACCTCATCTTTTATAATAGGTGCTTCGGTAGATGTTCGAGATGTCTTGCTTCTCCTCCCTTCTAAAGGTATGAATTTATAAATTTATAAGATAAATTTGTTTAAATTCAAAACAGTGGAAATGATTTAAACGAAATCATATCAGCGCTTGGTGTTGCCCAGTGTTCGCGACGGAGACACGGCTGGTATGAATCTCACCAAGATCATGCATGATCTGATCTCCGACTTCACCTAATTGCCACCGACATTACTTCCATCGAGATCTCCTTTAATTTCGATGTTGGTTGGTCAACATCAACTCGCTAAGGTATCAAATAAATTTTATCAAATGTTCGTATAGCTGAACCATCAATTATTCACATTCAATTCTCTCTGAAAAGACCGGGAAATGTCGAAAATCCATGCAATAATTTCCCTCAAATTTTCATGTATTGAGAATATATTGCATTTGGTTTCAGTCTTTTACTGTTTATCAAAGTGGGACTCGCTGGCAATTACTGAAAAATGAATAACAAAGCGATGAGCGAAAGGTATAAATTTTCAGAAAAAAAAATTATATAAAAATCATGTCAATTCCTCATCCTAGAGCGAAAACTCATTCCGTAAAAATACTGAAACCTGAAACCCTACTGACGTTTCACATGATTTTAACTCGCGCGGCGAGAAATACATAATGAAAATGATAAAATTTTAATTCGCTTATCGATTACGAAAATGACTAAGAAAATTCATGTCCTTAATTTTTTAACGGAAATGCTAATTGAATTACAGAACCGTCTAAACAAATTCCGTAACAGTCCCACACGGTGTGTCTGAATCACATTTCGCTCCAGAATTACAAAAAGAAAACATCATTTTTATAAACAATTGCTCTCCGATTGACGATTCAGAAAAACTATGCGGTACTCTAATAAGAATTCAAAGTCGTTCATCATTTTTTACGGTAACCATTTAACATTTTTATTAACTTTTTCTTTTTTATTTTTTATTTAACATTTAACATTTTTATCACCATTTATTTTTATTTTTTTTAATTTTTTTATAATATTTTGCCTCAGCGTTATGGAACTTCCATGTACTTTTCCATGAATTTTTCGTCAATTTTTCTTTCCATGTAGATTTTATAATTTTATTCGTGTTTTGTTTTTCTAAAAAATTTTGATGTTTTCATTAAAGAAAACATCAAAATTGGAAGCAAATGAAATAACTTCAAAAAACAAACAAAATTGAAAAGGGTATTTGATATTCATATTCAGTTTCATTTCAGATTCGATTACTATTGTATTAATGAAATGAGCCGTAAATATATTGAGGAAGTAATCAAAATGGTGACGTTTCAATATTTTCATAAAGAGAAAAAAAAATTAAGGAATATATTATGCGCAAAATTATTAATATTAGAACTTCTTTAAGTCGCAACAATCGTCCAAATATTCACATTCAAAAATATAGAATATTGTTTTATCGATCATTAGAACGGATTGAATTGTTGACTCAAGTGCTCACTAGATGTCTCTGACATGAATTTTTTGCCTACCTGCTGTGCAGAAAGCACGTGGTGCTGATTTATATTGTAAATTTTGACAATTTCCAGTGATTTAATTGTTTTCAAACGTTTTTTAACACTCATAGATTAATTAAATAATAATTAAAGGGTCATGGAGTACATGGAAAATATTGAACCATCTGGAGCATCAACAGCTCGCGTGTAAGTAAACAAAATTGATCTCTCAACCTTAAAATTTTTTAGTCACTCGTTGTCAACTAATATCTAGTAATCCCAGGAATAAATTATATAGTGGATTGATCCACTGTGGATTTCGCTCCCGAATTGAAGCGTTGTATTCGTTCAAATTCAATTTTTTATGTCGGTTAATAAATTCAAATGGAAGAAGTTGAAATATACAATTTTTGAATGCTTTATATATGTAGAAAAATGGAAGGTCATAAGGTCATGTTTTTATTATTTACATAAGGGTAATAGCAATTAACAAAATGAATATCTAAAATGATGAGTACCCTTTGAAAATTATTTTTTTATTCTTTAACGACGTAATGCATTTAGTATAAAAAAAAACATCGTTGAGACACAGTCCATTAGGAATATCAGCCCATACGATAATGTTCTCTATTTTTAACGATTTTTTTACATTATTCGCTTTTTTGAATTTTTAGATAAGCCCACATGGTACTCTATTAATCAATTAATTGCGGAATCCTCAGTTTATCTATTTATGTTTGTTCAAGAGTAGACAAATATTGAAAATTGCGAATAGGATAATTTTTAAAAGTGCCCATTTTATGGGTATGAGTATAAGCTTTTCCATGATTTTCATTCTGAATATGCATTTCAGTTATTCTATTCAACGACATTGGAAATAAAATAAAATAGGATTTATCATGGACTTTATAATTTAAGATAATAATAATGATTTTTTCAAATACCGTTTCCATTTTTAATTCAGGAAACACTAAATTTAAAAAAATATAGTTGAATAGTCTATTCAATTGGAGGAACTTCAATCAAATTCAAATATACAATAACGACAAAATGTTTAAATCAATATAGTAATACCGAAAATTTAAACGATGAGTATCGATTAGGAATCGGATTGTCAATCCATCAACAAACTAAAAAATACTTAAAAATTATACTGATAGAAAATATGTATGGATTTCTTTTTGCAGATTGTGCTGTCGTTGTGGTACAGTGATAGAACCGAATCCTTCGAACATGTGTGTCGCGTGTTTGAGGACCGAAGTCGACATCACTGAAGGAATTCCTAAACAAGCAACTGTACATTTCTGCAGAGGATGTGAGAGATATCTTCAGCCACCGAATGAGTGGATATCAGCTGCCTTGGAGTCCAGAGAGTTATTATCCTTATGTCTAAAGAAGTTGAAGGGATTGCAAAGAGTTAAACTCATTGATGCTGGCTTTGTCTGGACTGAACCACATTCCAAGAGAATCAGGGTAATTCCCATTTTTTCCACATAATTGAAATACTTTTTCTTATCATCGCTATAAAACAATTTTTTACACCTAACAAATAAAAATTCCACGAATAGAAATTGAAAATATCTCATGATTAGTTGAGCGCGTCCTTTGATCTCCTAGCTACTTTGCATATAATTGAATGTAATCCTTCTAATGTTAAGAAAAAATACAATCATAAGCATTTTTTTATCATTTTCACTTCCTCTTTGCTTCTTTGGGTTACAGATTCGAAGAGTCTGTACATGTGAATGAAATTCATGAGTATTTGTGAGAATAACAAAGGTCATCATGGATTTTATTTCAATGAAATTACGATTTTTTCAAAACGTTACACATGGAATTCGAAACATTATCATCGATAACTCTTGATCAAATCAATGGACTATGAAAAGTTGAACTGCATTATAAAGATGTCGTTGATTCCATTCAAATGATATACAAGATATCTTTATAAACTGAATTAAATGATTCGCTAATTAACAATAAACGTGAATTTTACTGCGTGACATTACAATAAAAAATAGAAGAAACTTTAATATCTCGACAAAAACGGAACTTAATCCGACACAACTGATGTCACTCCGAAAAACAGAAAATGTCTTTTAAAATTATATATAAATTTTCCTACGCATATGCTAGTTGGAGGATTATAAAAATTGAACGAAATTTGAATGTTGGGTGGAACCTGAAGATCATATTTTCACGTTTGAAGCGCTATAACTCCATGAAAAACTATAGGAATCACATAGATCATGTATTTTTTTATGTTTATTTAATGAGATTTCGAATGAGTACATAATATATTACCTCAGTACCAAAGGAAGAGAGGCAGTATGCCAAAAATCGAAGAAAAAGGGAGTGTTACAGACACGGCTCATTTACTTATGGATTTTTGGATAAATCTTGCAGGTAAAACTGACCGTTCATGCTGAAGTGATTGGAGGAGCAGTTCTCCAGCAAGTCTTCATTGTGGAGTTCATCATAACTCACCAGATGTGCGATGATTGCCACAGGACGGAAGCCAAAGACTACTGGCGTGCATCAGTCCAGGTTCGTCAGAAGGCGATCAACAAAAAGACCTTTTACTACTTAGAGCAGTTGATACTGAAGCACAAGGCTCACGAGCAAACCCTGGGAATCAAGCCTATCCATGAGGGCTTGGATTTTTTCTATTCCAACGAAGCCTCAGCAAGAAAAATGGTTGACTTCTTGGTCTCTGTGCTGCCATGTCGTTATCAGCACTCGAAAAAACTGATTTCTCATGATATTCACAGTAATCTTTATAATTACAAATTCACGTACAGGTAATTGAAACAGAGAATTACATTTACTTTCGTTTAATTCTCATAATTAGAAGAATAATGTAGAAATATTCGAGTTGAGACAATTCTCTTGTTTGACTATTGCATTCTAGATTCATTGAGTGATGACTATTGCCTTTTCTTTCAGTGTCGAAATCGTGCCAATTTCTAAAGACAGCGTTGTTTGTCTTCCCAAGAAATTGACACATCAATTAGGAGGAATAAGCCCAATTACTCTCGTATACAAAACTACGAGTGCATTACACTTGATTGATGTGGCTTCAGGTCAAAGTAAATACTGCTATTTCTTTATACATCAAATCCCAAATTTCTACTTCATCATCAATTCATTAAACATTACAATTCTGATATCGTAAAGCTAACGTAATCTTTTTTCAAATGATTGGATTGTAGTCGCTGAGATAAGTGCAACAGTTTACTGGAGACATCCCTTCAACAGCATCTGTAATCCCAAACAACTTACTGAATACATTGTGATGGATATAGAGCCCATCAAAGAAAATGAAAAGAAAGTATTTCCAGGTCAAGGCGCCATATCACACAAGGTCAGTGTATTATTTTATTCTGCTTTTTCTTTCAGACAAATGAATTGTTCTATTTTCCTACAATTGTTCTACAATTGTATTACCCCTCAGAAAATTGTTCCTCAATTTTTAGGGATAACAATAGAAATATCGAATTACTTGAACGGCGAGACTGTTATACTAGAATATCGTCATTCAAAAGTACTTGAAGAAAGCAAATAAAGCGCATTTTATTAATTCAAACTCTTATTAGCCTGGATACAAGTTATTTTCAAGAATATCTGGCTGAATATAAAAAAAACTATAGGGGCCGGTGCGTTTGGTTCAATTTTTTTGTCCAGTGAGTTTTTCGTCGAATTGATGATCAAACGGCGATGAAATGGAAGACATTGGTATTCCTTCGAAATGTGAAATTAATTTTTTATACAATGTGATGTTCAGCAATCCACACAGACCATAAATTAACACAATTTTATTATCTAACTATTATAAACTATTAAAAACACTATTTATTGAATAATTGATAGCTAGAAACATTTTTCTCAATTTTTCTTTTCTAATCGGTAGTGTAGTTTGGGCCAGTGTTGATATTTATAAAATTTCTCAATTAAAATAAAATAGAACAATGGAATCAACGGGGAACCTCAAGCGATTAGTAAAGGCAGAAATGTTAATGTATTTCGGACAATGAGTTTTTTGAATGAAAAAATCATTGGTAAAATAGTTTTTGAACAATCTAGAATAATAATTTATATAAATTTGATTTTTATATAAAATTTTGTACTAACACATGGATATACTTTGCGGAGATAATATAAAATCGAAGTGACTGAGTTGATGTGAAATTATTCACATGCCACCCGAATATTCCCAAAAATGATTCCAATGAACTCTAAATTAAGCGGTCTGTTTCCAGCACGTCATAGCTGATGTTTGGTTAGTAAAAGCTTCAGAACTTGGGGTAAATGACAATCCAGTTCACGCTCGTACACATTTGGGGCACGTTTTAAAACCAGGAGACTCGGCAATGGGGTGAGAATATCATATGGGTCTTTGCGATGATTAGATTTGATTTATTCTCCACTAACTCTCTCATCTTTTCATTCATTTGCTCTATTTTTCATACAGATATGCAGTTGGAGATAGCAATATCAATGACCCGAATTTCGATAAAATCTCGCAGGATAATATTCCTGATATCATCCTAGTGAAGAAGTACTATGGAACTGAGAGAACTGCTCGACGAAGGGCGAGGATGTGGAAATTGAAACATTTGCATGATGAGGTGGTCTCTATGAGTACTGATAACAAGTAAGTATTACGATCATTCGAATTTATCGATTCCAATCCTTTGGATTCATTTCGTTCGTTCTCTAGAGACGACAATGAGAATAATTGGATAAAGAGTTGCTGATTGTATTCAATTTATTTAATTTTTATTTTCCAGCGACTACAATGAATTTTTAGAAGATCTTGAAGAAGACCCAGAGATGCGTCAGAATATCAACATCTTCAGAGACTCTAGTAAACAAATACCAGTCGATTCCAACGATTTAGATCCGAATTTACCGCAGGTTACACTTGAAGAAATGTTGGAGGATTTAGTGATTGAAGACAGCGAAATGGCGGAAGTTTATGAATAAAATAAATCATGTCAACTAAAACGGTTTTACTGAAAATATATTCACTGTAATATTTTCGCTGTAATTATTCTCAATAAAATTTCTCAGTTATTAAAAAATATAACTTTAATTGCACCCAATTAGCAGTAAATAAATCACAAATTTTGCATGTTTACCCTTCTTACCGGTTCGTTACCGACTTATCACTAATTATCAACTCGAATAATTATTCTCCTGAAATCTTCACTGGAATAATCTCTGAAACTTTTCTAGAAGGAACTTGTGACAATCATATTGACACGATATCGCCAATTTCAAGTTTGGCGCTAATTACTGGGGAATTTCCCTAGTGCCACAGCAGAATATAGAATTGTGGATTTTTTTCCCAGATATGCAGCACTGAAATGACGAAATCGTAATGGTAGGGGCGATCAACGCATGCGCATTTCGATCTCAACGCTACGCTCATAAACAACATTTTTTTCAATCGACAATCACCATCGGATTATCACGTTCAGAGGTAAATTACCCCAAGGGCAATCTGAATTAATCTCAGTCAATATAATTTTCGAACAAAGGGCAAAAGTTCGATGCAATTCGTTGAATTAATTACAATAATTTCCAGGATTACGTGACTCTAGCATGCGGTGACGTCACTAACACTTTTCTGAAAGAACGCTGCAGGACGATAATGGCGGGTATGTACTCGTGATGAGAGGGAGAAGCCATTTGCAATTTTTTCCAACGAAATTTTTCAATTAATAATATATTTCACAACAAGCCATTCATATGTTCATGCATTAAATAAATTTTCTAATAATGAAATATTATGGCTTGTGTTCTAGAATTGTATGCAAAATACAACTGCACGTACTGTCAGGAGGACATTACAGGGCTGCGTGTAAAATGCGTCGAATGCCAAGAATTCGATCTCTGCCTGCAGGTGAGTTTGAACAACGCCACATGACACGATAGTCACATGACCCCACACCCAATGCCCCCTCCCACTATTTTCTCTTACCGTAAACAGTCTTCATTTTAAAAAAAAACCAGAGATGGTATTATTGGGAGGAGGGAAACATTTTTTTTTATTAATGTATGAACACCTTGGTAACTTGCTGAATTTGAATTTTTGTTTATGAATGCTGACATTCTATTTGTCAAATTGTCATTTTTTTATTCTTCGTGGCTGAATGAATAATGGGATAAAATTGATCAATTAAAAATCTTTCTATTCATGATTTGTGACATTTTTAAAGAAATATAAATAAATATGTGAAGTATTTGGCAATTAGTTGATTAATAGACTGTCAAGTCGGATTACGTCCTTAAACAAAAAAAAATTTTTATCGAAACCATCAATTTGAAATTCAATCTGATAATACTTTATCATTTTCAACAAGGCACTTATCATTTTAGACATTCACTCTGTGGTCTGAGGAAGACATTAGACAGTATTTATTGCTGCTCACCCAATTTTTAAATAAAAATATGCCCAATTACCCTAGGTTCTGTACATACATATGTAATCTATCATTTCTCGACGAAAACTCGAAAAACAATTGTTGAAACTACTAATTATTCTGCGATTATTTCCGTTTATTAAATGGACTGATATATCATTTCCAAAATTATAAAGACGTTCTATTGATTCACTTTGAAAATGGAAACTATTAACTATAATAATATCAATTGTTTAGATTCCACCAATAATTTCCATCCGTTGGGCAGCATATTCCTAATTCATTAACAAAGGAACATTAAGATAGAAGAAATAAGGACAATATCCCCCTTGTTTTCAGTGTTTTTCTGCTGGTGCCGAAATTGGACAACACAAGAACAACCATTCGTATCAGTTTATGGTAAATACATAATACTCATTAAGTCGAGCAAAGAACGAGAGAATTTGTTTAAAAAAATCAACTATTCTTCTTTTTTCATTTCTGATGGTGTTTTTGTACTCAAAAAGTAGAGTTTTATAGAAAATATTTCCCGATTTTAGCCTCTACCTGTACTACAATACATTTCTTTTCTTTAATTTTCATGTTGACGATAATTGTATTGAATTTTCCATGTGAAAATGCTTGGATAATTCCTCACTTTTATATTTTTTCCTCTCGAATTTCTCGCATGTTTAAAGAAAAGTTTTTGAGTTGGAAACCGTACTGATCCTTTCAATTAAACGTATAGTATAATTAACTGATTAAAAAATTCTTTAGGACTCTGGTACAATTAGTATATTCAGTGGGCGAGGGAATTGGACAGCTAGAGAACACCTTCGGTTACTGGATGCAATTGAACAATTCGGCTTTGGTAATTGGGAAGACATCAGCAAACATATAGAGACACGAACCCCAGAAGAGGCTAAAGAGGAGTACATGGCCAGATACCTCGATGGAAACATTGGTAAACATACCTGGCCGCCAACGGAGAGCTATAAACCAAATCTTACTGATCAAACAAGCTCGGATCATGGACCATTGTCACCTGATCTTACGTCTAGGCTTCCTCCCTTAGATATCACACCAGAAGAAGCTGCGCAGCTGGGATATATGCCGCAGAGAGATGACTTTGAACGAGTAATTATTATTTCCCAATATTTCCTCTTCTGTTTAATCTAGTGGTATCCAAGTGAGAGTATATGCACTAAAAGACTTTGTAAAAATCACAATTTATTCCGTTCTACTGCAGAAAATGAAAAGTATTCTCATCCATCCATTCAAAACCCACTAAAAAACCTTTAGAAAGGTTAGAAATAAATATGAATAATTCATGCATACATTGATGAAGACAGGTTTAAAAGAAAACTATAACTTTACTTCATTATCAATTGAATAGTTTTAACCATATAAAACAATCTCAAATGTTCATTCCGGTCCTTCAATTCTTATTAAAATTTATTATCTATTTGAGTGTCCAGAAATGGTATTAATGATAGTTTCTTTTTTTCGCAGGATTACAATCATGAGGCAGAGTCACTCGTTTCGTCGCTCTTCTTGAATCCAGCAGAAGACGATGACCTCGACATTGCACTTAAATTAGCCCACGTTGATATGTACACAAATAACCTACGAGAAAGAGCGAGACGAAAACGCGTGGTTCGTGATTATCAACTAGTATCCCAATTTTTTGCCTCGTCCAGAAAAGAAAAGGGAATCAAGAAAAAGCCGACGAGAGAAGAAAAGTAAGTTCAATGATTTACTAATAATGCCGCGAAAAACTCGTTCAAGCAGTTAATTTATTTTAAATAAATCCTGAAATAATTAGATTATTCGTATGATAATTAGTTTTTTTTAATTTTCAGAGATTTCAGCGAACGTTTGCGGGTTTTTGCTCAGTTTTACACTGCCCAGGAATACGAGCAATTTCTTGCAAACTTAGAGAGAGAACGGGAACTTAGATTGCGTCTATCAGAACTCTATCGTTACCGAGAAAATGGAATAACAAGGCATGAAGAATGCACGCACTTCGAGCAAGTAATGGTCCAGACACAGGGTTCCACTGAAGCGACAGATCACTGGTCTGAAAAAAAATCTGTAAGTAGATTTTTCAAAAGTTTTTAACCATTGATTCGACGTATTGCAACACAAAATACTTTTATTCTGCTCAGATTAATCAATCATTCAACTGGAAATAATCTCAATGGTGAAGTAGTAAAACGAGATTTGTTAATTATCCAGCATAGAACATTTTAAGTAATAAAAAAATATTCGTCAATCTATTTCATCTTATTTAGAAAAAAAACAATTCTTATAAAATTTCTTGAAAACAGAAAGTTAACTAGAAAAAAAAGCGATGAAAAATTTTGCGAAATTCCTTTTCGCATTGTCTTTTTAAAATTTAATTCATCTCGTTCTACCACTCACACGTTTTTAATACCTGCTATGGTGCTTGGATTTCATTTTTATGTATGAAATTCCTGGAACTTGTCTTGCTTCTTCATCTTTGGCTTCAGACAAAATGGCAACTCGTTGAACTAAATAAATTAACCAATTAATCGAGCTCTTGACTCAAGAGAAGAAATTACTAACAATACTTTACTCACCAGAATGCTTCTGTTCACTAATTCTATTGTTTGTGATACGTGTTGCCAGGCGTTTGTGAACAGATTGTATCAGTTTGCATTTCACTTAGGGCAGCAGTGGGCCGTCCACGCCAACACTCCGCCACACCTCAAAAAGAAGGTAAGATATTTAATTTTTTGTTTCTAACTCAACTCACCCAAGTGATACTTAATATAATATCGATCTAGTTTATAGATTTTTTTACTCACAAACTGATGGATTAGAACATCAAATTAAGTATCCAATTGACCTTATTGAAATCTCATTCGCTGACATTGTTCGTCGCAAATACATTGAACTATTGTGACAATGACTTTGGAAAAATTCTGCAAGTTAAAAAATACTTCTGAATTATGAAGAACAATTATAACGACCTTGTACAGTTCCTTATGCTTCACTCTTAGTTTACCATTTAGAAGATTGTCGAATAAATTAATAGATAATTTCCTGCTAATATTCATATTATTTGAATTTTCTTCATTCATATGTATTCAATTAATTGATGGGTAATGAAGTTGTTATTCCGTCCGAGAAATTAGTCAATTCGGGACTGAAATGCAAAAGACCTGGATAGAGGAAGGAAATTATAAAAAGAAAGAACTGGTAATAGTTTCCTTCAAGAACATTCGTTACTAAAACATTTGCTAATTACATTTAACAATCTCTAGTTTTCTTTTGTAAATAAACAATTTGAATGATTTAAGGTTTTTGGTAGGTAACCATTCTCAAACTACAACTTAATAAATTAATAAATCCCCACACGATGAAAGCAATTATTCCAGAATTTGGCAAAATAGTTGCATAATTATATGTTCCACAGAGACGACGAAAAAAATCACTCTTTCATCGACCGAAAGTACACGTCAAAAGAATCAGCCAGCAGCTCCAAAGTAGTCAATCCCAATCGGACGACGACTCAAGTCAGTCAGTCGGTGGAGCTGGATAGCACGTCGAATTATTTATCACAAAAATCTGGTGGCTCATCATCAACGAAGACATCAGACAAAAGAGACATAGAGGTGGAGGCTGCAGCTCATCTGCTTACAAACCAGGAAAAATCCTTGTGTCTTCAGCTTGATCTTAAACCCACACAGTATTTAACACAAAAAACATTGTTATTACAGGTGAGTGGAATTTATAATGTTCCTGTCAATATTCATGTGATTTATTCAGCGGTACATTAAGGATTTTTACGTGCAATTCGGAAGAAAAAAACTCCGAGTGCTGTGAAACAACAGTTTTTTCACATCTTCAACTCTACGCCTTTTTTTTATCATCTGAGATTTCAACATGGCAAATACGTTCATTAATTCAATCATCTGAGAAATCATTATTCACTATCATGACCTGAATCTGCCATTCAGTCTCAAAATTTTCCGGATTACATTCTTATCATTCCATATTTTTAAAAAAACATCATTCGTCCTTTTATAGAAAAGACCATTAAAAAATCACGTAACACTACAATCCGTCAATTAATCGAAATTAATTAGAAAATCAATTACTTTTCAATGATTTTTTGCGGGATGGAGGCTCGGAGAATGTCAATTATCTACTGTTAATTTACCTCACAATAAATTGCGTTGAAAAATTATATTAATTATTGTTTTTCCTCTTTTCCAGGAATATCTTAGTGGTAATCGGAAATCTACTATAATTCCTCAATCAGAGCCAGAAAACAGAATTCTTCATTACCTCGTAACGAATGGTTGGATTGCAGCCAATTAATTTCCCCCTCGAGTCAGTCTCCGCAAGCCTAATAATTCTCATCTCTAAGTCACAATCAACATTACCCTAGCAAGCAGCTGTAATTAATTTATAAAAATCATCAATCTGATTGTTTTCCTGTAACAGAGGAAAAATAATAATGGAGGTGAAAAACGGGTAGGAAAGAGTCAGAAGTTTCAACTAAGTACGTCCGGGACTGTGATTAAGATTAAGAAAAAAAAAAGATGTGAAAGGTACGACGAATAGACTATTTCATTAATTTTATCCATAAATTTGGCAATTGGTGGAATGGTAAAACCCCATAAACACATATCGAATTTTTACTTTGATTCTTTATCTTCTCTTGAGAATAATTAACATTTGGAACATCATTCGGACAAACACCGTGGATGAAATTCCCTCTGTCAAAAATGCCTTTTGATATTTCTTCCTGTACCAATCTTGATCACTACTTATTTTTCTCTCCTGTTCTTCCCCTTTCTCCTTGCCATAATGAAGACCTATATGCAATTATATCGTAATGAGAGAAATATCAAAAAGCTTTTTTCATTCCCGACGAATTTTCGGGTAATTATGGAAATAAATTACATCCTAATATATTATGATTTACGATTCCGCCATTAGTGTAACAATTAAGTACAGTTTTTAATAAATTTGTTTGATTTCTGTTCAAAGCCTTAATCCATTGCTCAATGTAATCTTCCAAACGATTTTTTAACAGTTATTAACTTCGTGAATTCAGGAAGAGATAAATAAAATCAGATAATTTTCTTCGATTATCGAAAATTCTTCATGAAAATGTAAACAAAATTGTCCACCCCATATATTGCACAGAGTAAACTTGAAAATTTTCAAGGACAAAATAATAGATCAGATGGCATATTCCATTCATTAATTTCTTCCTCAAAATATTTATGCCGATGAAATATTATTCGGCTGTCGCATTAATAACTTCCCACCTCAATTTTTTTTATCAAGAATAATTCAACCGTCTCATAATTAAAAATTTTTATCCAATGAAGCAATCCAAATATTCACCTATCACTGATTATTCATTTGATGATTCATTTGAGATGACGCAATTGTAAAAACTCTAAGGATTATGGCAACTATATTTTCCACTGTAATTAACATCGCCATAAGACCTTTGAATTCACCTATAAATAAATGAAATTGGGGAAAACAGGAGAATCAAGTAATTATGAGCAATTTCTGTTGCATGAATCTCCTGACGTGTGATGTTTGAATATATTCGTCAAAAATATCTTTTGATAATTTTCCGAAATATTGCTCATCAATAAATCTTTTCAATATTCGTCAATAATCAACATGATTTTTTTTTAACTCGACAACGGAAAGAGTGAGCTTTGGAAATATATTAGACCGTTATTGTTTATTGAATAAAAAATCTCTATAGGAATGCTCTTCTTTCAATTAATAATTTACTTAAAAAAAGCACTTGACCTTGTTCTCCAAAGTCACTCACTTTCGAGCTAAATAGCTTGTCATCTCCTGTTCTTCAACCACTTCCAATTGAAAATTAAATTTCAATTAATATGTGAAACCTAAAATAAAAAGCTCCACGCTTATTAAATATTTAAATATGAATTAAGTAGAGACTCATAACTTTTCTTGATTAATTGATGGTGTATTCTACTCAATTACTCATAGAATCAATTACACATAACTAGTGATGACGAGAATCACTGAGGACTGACACGAACGGTCAGAATTGTATATGACTTGTACAATGAAAGATAAATATTATAACTAGTAGCAAAAATTAACAATTTTCGGGGATTTTCTAAATAGTTTTACAAAATTCCTTTATCAAATCATTCTGTAAATATTTGATGAATTTATTTACTTTACAATTTTTCTAGATAAATTATTGTCCATTTATGTAACAGTCTTTAGTAATTTTTTCTTTTTTCGGTTCTTCAAATTCACCTTTGATAGAGGCTGTTAATTATAGATTAAGCTTGTATGTGTTCAAGCGAATAAAAGGGAGAATGTTTAAACAATGTTTAAACGAGTGATGGATGTCATGATGTTGTAATCGCGACAGTACCTGAGAAAAGGAAAGGTGTTGAAGATGTTTAATGTTAGAAAGTGAAAAGAATATTTAATTGTCACATATTTTGATCGAATTAAGAATTACGCTTTTAAGCACATAATCAGGTGCAAAAACACAATGACCAAAATGAGAAATTGGAGGGAATAAACTAATTTATCCTTCTTGATGTAAAAATTATTGGAGAATTAGGAACGAAATGAATTTGTTGTAAATAATGATGAGAATAAAATCGAACTATGTCATCTAATTTTAATACTTTTTATTCCTCGAAAAATCAACATTATTTTTTTTTAATAGTAATATTCCCTATATCCCTATTCCCTATATCCCCTATAATGAAAGCTCGTCTAATGTGAATAGTGTTGTTGCCACATCCATTGATTTCACACTTAATTAATTAATTTCAATACTTGTAACCCATGAATCAAAATTTTTCAACGCGCAAAATGTTCTTTAACATCTGTATAGCTCAAAAAATTTCATGAAAAACTCATCGCTGGAATTTTCAAAACTAAAGAAAAACTGTGAACTGCCATGAAACTCAATGCTAATCTTCGAAAAATAAGAAAATTTATAACTATTGTCCTGGCCTATCCAGGCTCACTAAAATTTAAATGAGTCATTTTTGTATTAAAATCTATCTATAAACCAATTTTCATAAAAATCTCATCGTTGCTTCCATATACGGCAGTACTACCTTAAGCAATATTACAGAGTTAACATCGATTTTATTATTAAAAAAAAAGGAACAGGTCGTAAGTCCATTTGACAGAAGCCATGCGGTTTGTTCTTCATCCATCAATTCCATTGGTTATTACCTTCCAAATGGATTTCCAACTAAATTTCTAGAACGACTATTCCAGGGAAAACTGTTCTTAGAAAAATATCTCCTACATTTTTTATTAATTACTAAACTAAACTTGTCCACACATGTATACGCTTTCGGGCTTTTACATTTCCCACCCCCAGTTCCCCCTATACCGCAATTACGCCGAGGGCCGAAGGGAAAACCTCATGGGAAACAACCTTGGCCAGGTACAGTCGTCCCTTTCGAGACTACCGCTCGTACGATGAAAACCTGGGCAAGTTGGAGCGAATTCTATCTCTAAAAAAACCCCTGGCATTTCCCCGACTAGGAATCGAACCCACGAATCTCATGTGCCAACCCCCTACGCTCTAACCGCTCGGCCACCGCAGGTCGGTATTTTTTATTAATTATTTCACAATTCACAAAAATAATAAATAACGAATCCTGAGGTTGAAAGCTCATAGTAGCATCTTCTTAATTAAATTAAAGCAAAATTTCTGATTTTTTTACAGTTTTTCATTAAATAAATAATTACAAAAAATTGAACGTCTAAAATGGGAATGCCTTCAATTAAAATTATGCATTGGCCTCTAAATTCCAGAAGAATCAATAGAATCAGCTAAATTACTTAATTTCTTATACAGGAATTAATACCCAACACAGGAATTATCATTGCTGATCAGCTAACGATTATTTTGAATGGTGATCTTTTACGATCTGCATAATTCTGCAGAAAAGTCGGGTAATGACGTCTTTCATTGAACCATCAACGTGAACAAAAAGGAATGAATCACTCTATGTTTTACGAGTTAGTACTTAATTTGTGCATCAAACCATGCATATCAATATTTTTTTTCAGTTGTGACGAGACTCTAGATATGTGTTCATAAATAAGATTTGAAATGTGATTTGAGAAATTGTCTACAAAGTAATGACATTATCTACAAAATACTTGAACCATTGGAAAAAGCTGGAAAAATGGGAGGGGGGCGTATAAAAATCGAAAAATAAATAGGTGGGAAATAATAAAATAGAAAAAAAGATGAACTTGAAATTAGCTGCACTTTTCATATACCAGCCTTTTGCAGAGAATATCTCTGTGAAAAGTGAAGATATAAAAAAAAAAAATCGGTGTATTCAGAAAACCTTTCTCTAGGTGGGAATTGCCTCACTTTTTTTCAATTAATAATTTTTCTTTTTTTATAACAATAAATCGAATTAAAAAAATGTTCAGCATGGAATATCTCCGACGCCGCCCATCACAATATCATGGAACCAAATTCTCTGACTTCGGTTTCCCAAAATCTAAATGGGAATTCCTTTTTTTTTATTTCTCCTCTTCGTAATTCGGAATTTAAAAAAAAAACAAAAAAACTTCAACACTCCATATCTCACGTATGGAACAACCCCTAGAGTTGAGTCAATCACCAAAATTTTCTAACTTCAGGTTCATAAAAAAAGACGAATACTCAACTTAATTGAAATAAACCCAATGAAGATGTAAATTTATTAAAATATTTGTATTTATTTTGAAGAAATTCAATTTTGCCATGTCACCAGTAGTTTTTATTTGATATTCCTAAAATATTCCTTTGAATTTCTGGCGGAACAAAAATAGGAAATTCAAAATAATCACCGTGATTTCATTATTTACCTGTATGCACAGACTGAAAATACAAGTAATGATGATAATGATATTTAATTGTGTCTTCTTTTCTGTAGAAATCCTCAAGAATTTCCTCGAAATTCACCTTCATATCCTCTATGATCTCTAGAATGCAATTCTTCAATAGATTCCTAGAAGTCCCTCCTCCGGGCTCTACGAATGAAAATAAAGTAATTCTGAGGCACTGAACAAAGTCTTTGGTAGATTTATTGAACATTTTAACTCAGAAATGGTAAATGAACATTATTTTTCAACATGCAATTAGTCCAACAATTGATTTTACCGAATTTTCATTGAGAGACAGTATATTATTATTAAATTGACGAAACTAATTACGCACCTGATTATTTACATGAAGATTAATAATGTAGCTCTAATTTGCAGTTTTTCTTAACACCTTTTATCAAATTTTACTTTCTCCAAAATACAATCTCGTACAGAATCTTTTCTAGGAATTCCCATATGAATTTCTTCATAAGAAATAGTTGTGAATTGACAATAAAATTTAAATTTTTGACATGTCTATAAATTTTCATGAAATAACTAAACTGAAATTTAGTTTCCATTAATTCCTCGATTATTTGAATTTTTAATCGAAAAATTACCTTCCTAGTAAAATTGAAATGTTGATATAATGGTGTAGATTATAAATAAATGATTAATTACTACAGCAACGGAAGTGAAGAATGCCATCAAGGCAGCCGTGAATAAAACAATGAATTCCTTCAGCAGAATGTTTATATTACCTGATAATTCAGTATCTTCCTAACTAGATAGTTATGATGATTTCAAAGGTGAAGGTGGAGTTTACTCTATTCACTTTTTCCCACCTCTGCATTAAACATCCACAGGACTCTTACGCAATCAAAGTCCTCGTCACAGGGTATATAAAAAGCTACATGAAACACCAGTCATCAGATCTTGAGCATTGATACACAGAGAAGACATCGATTGTTTGGTTTTCGTGTTTACATTCCAGTTGTCAGTATGAAAATCGCTGTATTTGTGCTATTCTCTTGCCTAGCTGTAATTTCGGCTAGACCTGAGACTTACTCCTCCAAATGGGATACCATTAATGTGGATGAAATTTTGAACAATGATCGAATCTTAACTAATTACGTCAACTGTTTATTGGAGAAGGGAAATTGCACTCCTGAGGGAAAAGAGCTAAGACGTATGTACCATTGAATTCGACAATATTTTATAGCTTAATTATTCTATACGTATATCATCTATTATGATGTTTCCTAGATATTTAATTATAATTGTATAAACGTAAATTACAAAATGAAAACCGTTAATTAACTCGAATTTATAATTCATGAATTTCCAGGTTTGAGTCGTAATTTATGATTCAGAACCGCATGATTTATCTGTTTAACCGCGTCATTTTGTTATTAGTCTTGTGGTTCGTGATAACAATATTGTAGAATTGAATCTAAAAAACAATTTGAAAATTGATTCAATGAGTCGTTTCTAGCCACGGCCTTTTTGTCATTAAGAAATGCAGTATCGAAGTGGTAAACTACGGTACGTCCATTTTTTTCACGACCAGTTTTCGTCCAATACCTCAAAATTGAAGGATCATGATGAATTATTAGCATAAACATTTTTTTTAGAGAAAGACGAGAGCTAAAAACCAGGTCTCTATGAAAATATCAGTATCTTCCTTCCATTCCGAGGAATCGGGTAAAAACTAGTTTCGAAAAAACCCCACCTATCCTAGTTTACCACTTTGTAACAGAAGTGTTCTGATATTCACGAAAAATCGAAACTCCTTTGCCATAACCTTTTCTTTTCTTAGGGTAAGATATTAATTCTTGGAAACTATGAAGTTAGAAGTTTCTAGATATAAGTAAATAGATCTAGGTAAATAGAGAAAAGATCTATAAATATTCACGTAATATTCTCCATTGTATATAATTTAAATGCATTGCATTATCTTCCAGGTATTCTTCCTGACGCTTTGGAGACTGAATGCGCAAAATGCACTGATGCACAAAAAGTGCGTTCGCAAAAAGTGTTGAAATTTGTAGTGCGGAATAAACCGGTGCATTGGAAAAATGTAGTAGAAAAATACGATCCAGAAAAAAAATATGTTCAAAAATACGAAGACGAGGCAATAGCTGAAGGGTTCACCATCGATACCTAAATTTCACGATTTTAATCATTATTTTGTGACACCTCTTGTAGAATTGACGGCTAAATAATGTAATTAATAAGAATAAATTTACATCTCAGGAATTAACAAGTGATTTTCTTCTTTCTTTTTTGTGGTTGACTCAATTATCAGGCTTTACTCAGAATTTATAATTGTGAATGAGGATCGGGAAATTATGAATATGGAAAATCAGTTTTTTGGGATGTTAATTTTTATGATTCGCGTAGAGAATACGAAGAGAAAAAAATCGCTGCCCCTCAAAAATAATGTTGAGCTTGCAATTTTAAATAATTTTTAATTACAGCCGTTTACCTAATTCACTTGGTCCATTCCGTAAATTCAATTTACTTTATTTACAATAGTTTTCCCATAAAAATTCTGCTTTTCAATGAATTTCAAATTCTATTATCAGATTTAAAACCGGAAGGAAAAGATCGGTGTTCGTAACGCTTCTTTTTTGACAATTCGATTTTGGAATAAATCCTCTCCTTTTGTATTGAGTCAATTGAAAGCGCATTGCATAAGCTTCAAAAAAATACAAGATTTATTCCCATTTTTTTTTCTACAGTTATTGCAATTTAAACAGGAAAATGTGATATTCATGTCTTACCTAAATTTCCACTTTGATTCAATTTTTCTGTTTCCAAAGCAAATAAATATGAATACTTATATACCATTGTGGAGAAAACTCTTTAATCTTTGTGATGACATCAGTTATATCTGATTGAGTCCCATTTTTCACCGTTATATCACACTTTAAAATCGTTTATTGCTAATTATCTTAGCATTCGACGGAATTTGCAGAGATATATTACCTGCCATTGCAAAGTCCTCAACAAGTTCTTCATAATGCAACTTGATTTCTTCAATTCTATTGATTTGATCAAGAGTTATCAATGATATTATTATATATTGATATAATGATATTATTATATATTGATATAATGATATTATTATATATTGATATAATGATATAATGATATATTGAAAATAGTAATTTTGCTTAAATATAGTCCATAACAACATTTGTTATCTTGGCCAATACTCATGAATCTTATTTCCACAAATTCCAAACTTACAAATTCATCAAGAATCTAATCCAAACTAACAGAGAGGAAATAAGAATTATAGAAAAAATGTGTAATATTGAATTTTTTATCAACATTCAACTAATTCGGTGCAATTACATGCAAAGTAATGCCCACCAGTTCTTACAAAATCCTTCATCAATTTCACTCTAATACCAAGAAACAGGAGTGATTAAATAGCCCTGAAGATTGAAACAGTCAGAGAAACAAAAGAACAAGGATATCAAAATGAATAGTTGTATATAGAATGTTTTTTCTTAATTCCATGAACAATTCATGATTTCATTTAATAATATCAGTTTTTTTTCTAGAAAGTTATTAGTCGCATCTTGAATAATTTATATTATCGTGGTTATTATATTTTGCGGAGAAAAATGCCAGGATTGGCGAACATGAATCGATTCGGTCGATTCGTAGAGAAACGGCACGAGGCTATACTTATTTCATATTTAAAATGCTGTCCATCATTGTATCACGTGTGTTTTGATCCCATTGGAACACATCCAAAGATCAGAGCCGTTATAGGATTTTTTCTTGGACTCACATTAGGAATATTTTTCTATGTGACCATTATACTTGATCTAGCCTTTGATCCATACACAACTCTTGGACTTGGGGCAATTGTCATCGTTATGCTCTCAGCTGGTTGTGCTTCATCAATTCAGGTAATTGTACTGACAATTGAGAGTACAATTAGTTTTGCTCATTTAACATCTAATTATGCATTCCGCATTGATTGAACAGGTGAGATGCGTTTGTGTTCTCACAATTCCAGCTTTTTTTGGAAGGTCAGGTCGGAGTATGCTGAAAGCTCTGGTCCTTGGCTTCGTGATAGCAGGACCGATCTTTAATCTAACTTACAATGGAAAAGAAGTGGTTCGAACATTTGCATGTACCGCTCAACTCACCTACAACCTCACCAAGACCCGCTTTGATCTAATGTTCAAGCCCGTTCAACAGGTTTTTTAAAAAATACTGAAAATTACTATTCTCTGAGGAGTCTGGGGTAATACAGACAACCGTTGAAAACTCGTCCATTCTTAACTTTTGATATTTTTCCATGTTCAAGACTCTTATGTACTATAATTTACATCAAACCAGGTCGCCATTAGCCCAGACTCTCGTAGTTTTTATACTAATCTGCGAAATCTTGTTCGCAAGCACAACGAAGAACTTAACAATGCTATGAGAATTACAATCAGAATACATGGCTCGAGATTGGATTAGGATAAATTAATTAAGAGTCTGCGACAAGGTTCATCAGTTCATTACTTTAGTCGAAAGAAATTTTTCTAAATTTATTTACTTGATTTATTTACTTCATGACTTGAGGTCTTGTCTAAAGTGAATTGTCATGCACGTAATAAGGCTATTGGCACTCGAGATTCACTTTGAACACGACCTTGACTTTTACGCACTCCGTGCACAAAAACGAACTGAACGACATCAACTCGCGGAGATATTCCGAAATAGTAGAGCAGGCCCGGGCAAAATGGGACATCCTGGCAAAACGGGACGCGGGGACAAAGTGGAAAAATTCAATGGGAGAGAAAAGGGAAAAAACGATCGTAAGAATCCATTATTGGACATTTCAATTATTCCAGAATTTCATTATAATGATTGACAAAAAAATGGTAAATTCCCAAATAAGGAATTTCATGATCAGAAGTAAAAAATTAGCGATTGAACTTAGATGGCATATTTTTAGAGAATGTTGACAAATAGAAAAAGTAAGGAAACAACAGTATAATCAAAAGAAAAAATTAAAATCGCAATAAACATTGGGAAACTTTTAAACAGTATCCAACATTTTTTTGGCGAAAAGAAAAATGACTGGGAATGCGTTACAAGTGCTTTTCCGCAAGTGTTCCATTTTGCCCAGCTCTCTCGTACATTAGAATAAAATGGCACAAATTTCAGATCGGGCGTAAAATCTCACTTTACACAGCGTGGTAAAAAATATACATCATCGTAGCACCAAAGGACACCATATTCTCGTTTTTATTTTTCAACACCAGTTTTGATGAAATTTCAACGTAATTCTCGTTTCACTAAAAGATCGAATCACTGTCTCTGCAAATTAACTTTAAGCTGAGACACAAGATCAATTGTAGGAAAAATCATAACTAATTGTGAGTAACTCTGCAAATTTAATTGTATTAATAGGCGATGCTAGGGATGAAGGATAACATCAATGAAGTGAAAGACACGTTGTCATCTGTAAGAGATCTGATCGGTCCTATTGTGGAGGAGATTGAGGGCGAGGAAGAGATGAAAAGACTTAAAGAGGAAAACGATTATCTCGACGAGTTGCAGGGTGACACTAAGAGGAGTGATGAGATTGAACGCAAACACGAGAAAGAATTGGAAAATGCCAAATCGCAAGGGGATATTTATGAGGCTAAGTATCGAGAGAAAATAGAAGTTAGGTGTGAGGAGCAGTTGAGCAGAGGTTCTGAGCGTTGCCGGTAATTTTTTTAGATTTGATAATAAATATAAACCGTCATTGTAAATTATCATTATATTTAATATTATTTAATTTGGCGTTTTTCTTGGTTCACTGCTTAAATTATTGAGTATTTAGATAGTTTAATGCCCAAGTTATCTGACTATAAAAGTAAAATTTGCCGCAACCAAAATTCAAGCAGTAAATGATAAATTATAAATGATTTCCCTGAATTTTCAATCCATTCAGAAATTTTTTTTGTATTTAATACTGAATTCTCACGATGAGTCTGAAAATTCAAGCTTTCATTGAAAAATCAATTATCATTTAAAATGAAAACATTGAATTTATAGAAATTTCAAGATAAATTAGACATTCTGTAACCATTTGAGATCGAAATTGAATTCGAACTCACATAATTGAAAATTCAAATGACTTTATGACGGAAATTTCAATAAATTTTCCATAGAACCATGAAAAAAATGGTCTTTAGAAAATGTTGAGGCCATTTAGTCGTTCTTGTGTAATCGGAGAATTTTTGAAATTTGAAATAATTCATATGACATACTCCGAAGATATATTTCTGTATATATTTTTTTGAATACATCTTTAAAATTTGAGTTTCAATGATTTTTGTAGAGAAGGATTCGCGGATGCTTACAATAAATGTTATGATACAGTGACTTGGCTGGCTGCTTGGTTGTTATGTTGGCCGATGAAATTGACATTTGTTTGCAACATAGTTCAAGCTCTCGGAGGCTCCAGCATCTGCAATCCCGAGGGAAAAGTTGATGTCGGCATTGGTGAAGGATATGCAAGTCTGAAAGGTAAAAAAAACATAAAATATATTAACTTGATGAAATAAATCAAAGGCTTAATTAATCCTCCGGAATTTCCAGCCGTGTCGAAATTGTGGCCTCAAATCTGTAGAATCAGAATGTCTTTGATTTTCCAAATTATACACTCCAAGCCTTTACCTAATAAAAATTACCTAATAGTTCCGTAATAAAAAGGTAGTGAAGCAGTTAGTTTTTCTGAACGATCTGTACAGCACAGGGACATAATTTTAATTGAACTTTTTCTCTCACTATATTTCTTTGAATTTCACCCCTTCTCAGATACCAGAGACTCCCTGAGCTCCGGTTTCAAAGACGCTCGTTTACAATACAAACTCAAAAACGCGCCCCTAATCCTGGACCTTCGCGATGCAGGAGATACCGCCAAAGCGGTCCTCCATGACTTCAACATCCGCCGGCACTTCTTTGATACAGTAATGACTCTCCTTAAACGCTGTCTAGCCTTTGTCTTCCTCAAAATAATTCTCAGCGCTCAAGACTACCATGACCGTTACCTCACCGACATCGAGCATGATAACCACTACATAACTTCCTATTTCCGTAAAATTGACGCACGTCGCAGGTACCGAGGTAGTGCTGTCATTTTGCCCCTGAAGAAGGTTGAGCTCCAAAAGTTCGTTGATCCATATCGCCTGAAACAAGGAAAAATCGAGAAGAAAAACTTGATCGGCCAGACAGTGAAGCTAATCCTAGAAATGGTCACAGCAACGACATTCGTTCTCCTCGATCGTCTCTTCTTCGAGACTCTAGACCTCATTCGAAGACATGGACACATGGAATTCACTCAATCAGGTCATCACGACCTGAATGTCGATGTCAAGGGAACTGGAGTCATAGCTTCACTCATAAGAAGCGTCGTAAAGGGGTTCAACGTAAAAAAGAGGATAAAAATGGTGGTAACGAATGCTGCATGTCTTCCCCGTCCTTCAGAGCTATCAAATTATATCCTCCTGAAGATATATGGAACCTACACTGCTATCTGGATTATGCTCTTCGTCGCAGCCTACACACAACGTTTGAGAAGATTGATATGTTCATTTTTCTACAGAAAACGAGAGAAGAGACGAGTATTGTATCTTTATAATGAGACATTGAGGAGAAGATTAGGCTACTTCAGGTTTATGAAGGTCAAGGTGAGAGCATTGGTGAGAGCAAGTTTGTTGGAGAGGGACATGGATCCATGGGTGGCATTGAGGCTCAGGTCACCCACATGGTGTGGATGGCTGAAATTCTTTGCCTTCGCCAGGCTGAAGTGTCTGATCTGTGGTGAACCTGAGGGAAGGAAGGAAACTTTTCGAAGGTGCGAGACACCAGGGTGTGAGTTCATCCACTGCTGGGAATGCTGGAGGGACATGGGAGAAGTTTGTTTAGCATGCATGCCAGGGGAAACTGATGATGAGGAGGAAGAGGACTATGACACCCAGATTGAGTGATAAGGTGAGGATTTCTATTTGGGAATCCCTCGTATCGAAAGACTAAAGGCTTTATCATTTGTTTCGATGTAAATTAGACGATTATCGTTCAATGATCAATTGGTTCTCAAAGATAAATTAAATAAATTTGAATAGGGCAATTTAATATTTTTAGTTGGCAACCGATGATTAATTGATGTCAAATAGAATTGAAGCTGAAGCTATGGACAATTGAAGAAGGCGGAAAATGAATTAGTTATTCGAAAAAATGATAGAAATTTGAAGGAAAATATTTGTTTATTTCAATGCATTCTGAATGCATTGAAATGCATTCGAATTCCAAGCCACGGGCATGAAGGACATTGTGTATTAATAGTAGTAAATCACTTGAATCTCGTGCTCACATGAAATTGCAATTTTTCTTTACAGTTGTAACCGTATCGTGCAGTTAATGAGTATTCTTTGAAGATATAAGGTATTCCCCGAAGGGTCGGAGTGATCCAGAAGTTGGAAATCACTTGTAAGATAACGACGATGAGGCGCCTCATATTTTTTCTGTTAATCGCCGTGGCTCTTGCCGAGGAAAGGCCAATGTACACCACGAAATACGATAAATTGGACATTGACTCGATTATCACGAATGATAGACTACTGAAGAATTATATCCATTGCTTGATGGATGAAAAACCATGCACACCCGACGGAAGTGAATTCAAAAGTAAGTTTAATGATTATGGGGGTGGGGATTATTGGCGTCATGCTGCAGGAATTTCATCACGGTGTCCTTTCTTCAAATCCCAAGAACTCATTTTCGGCCTTTCATTTATAAATTGTTGGTCATTAATTTTTCGGAGCTTCGCATAACCGTTGGAATTCTCGGAGATCATTCAAAGGAGATGGATTAATTGTCGAATTCATCAATGTCTGTGCTGCTTGATTGATTGATCGTTAGAGATTTTTAAATGAAGTTCAGAATTATTACATTGTTGTAAATCTTTGGTTAAATTTTCTAGTATAATTTTTTCAATTTTTATCGTGTTATGTTAATACCATAGTTTCGAAGAGATTTGCAATTGAAAATTTGGAATTTTGTTTTTAAAAATCAGGGGTAAGCAATATTTAGTGTAATTATTCGTTGACTATTGTTATGTAAATCCTTTAATGTTCGAATCTAATTTAAATTCGTCACGATTTGGTACTAAATATTCATATTTTTATGGAAAATTCAAACAATTTGGATATCAAAAATTACATTGAAATTTGAAATTACATGATATTTTTTCAGAAATCCAGTTTTCTGATCTCCTGCATTGAATTATAAAACAGGCTGAAATTTGAAGAATTTTTCGAAATTGCGGTGACCCGGATTAAATTATCAGTGTCTTGAATTTTTAATTGGGAAGTAAATAATATTAATCTCCTAAAATTGTAATTTTCGATCGAATGGTTCAAACGTTCTCAATTATATTCAATAATCAAAAACGTTGAATTTTTCACATAAAACAATGATCGATATTTCGAAGGCGATTAGAATTTCAAATCAGTTACGAATATTTAATATTATCTATTAAGGCCCGGCTGGCCTATCTATCGAACGTCGACTTTTGTTTAAATTTTATCTTTTTAACCTAAAATACATTAAAGTTTGGGATCTATTTTGTGTTACGGGAAGCACTTGAATGATGAACATGAAAAAATAATGAAAAGAAAGAGGAAAAATTATTAAAGGGTGTTAAAGATCGATATTATTTAAAAGGAATTTACCAAGTTTGCTAAAAAATAGTAAAAAATATGTAGCTTACTATTGCATCTAGCTGTCACTCAATCTTCCGGAGAGCAATGGTAAGCTGCGTAATTTTTATTATTTTTTTGTAAGCTTGGAAGATCCCTTTTAAACAATATCGCTCTTTAGCGCCCTTCAACAATTTTTCCTCTTTTTTTTTATTATTTTTTTATAACCATTCGAGTAGCTCCCGCAACACAAATTTGATCCCGAATTTTCATGTGTTTTAGGCTAAAAAGATCAAATTTAAACGAAAGATAACATTCGATGGATACTTCCCCCCGCCTTAAATTAATTTTTTATAAATTGAGTATTTAGGAAAACAATCCCATGAACTTCCACTATTTTCGGTAATTTGCATTATCGTATAGAAATTGAAAAGAAACATCACATCAAATAATCAAGAAATTAACAAATTTTTAAACAATAAAAATACATTCTGTGTGAATGAATCATTGTTAAAAATTAATGTATTCCTTGGAATTTCAAGTGTAATTTTCTAATGCTGCAAATTTATTTCGAACACCATAGGGAATTTACCAGATGCATTGGAGACAGGCTGTGCTAGTTGCAGCGAGGCCCAGAAGACAATGGCAGAAAAATTTTATCATCACCTGATTGACAACAGAATTGACGACTGGATGAAACTGGAAAAAAAATACGATCCTCACGGTAACTACCGGAGAAACTACCTTGGAGTCGACATTGAAACATCTACAGTGGCTGTTTGAAATAATCAATCTACGACGTGCGCAAAATGACCCCTACCTCACAAATCAAATCCTATTCTCTATCTTCTTTAAATTTTTCCACTCGTATTTTTTTCTCTTCAAGCATGATTCACTGACGTATGTTGATGCAATATCACAAATCATATACAATTGTTATTCAAACAGCAGCCTCTCCTCCCCTTAGTTGCATCCATTCCTATTATTTCATTATCGAACATATAAAACAGCTTTATCTCCAGTAGTGTGTAATTTTTTCCTCTTCAACTCTAACTCTTATACGTTTTTTTCGCAATCAATTAATTCTCTCTCTTTATAGATAAATCATTGATTCTAAACTAGACGCATTGCGTATTAGATTATAAATAATGAATGAAGCAAATAATATTGTTTCTCTTTATCCAGTTCCTTCTCCGTCATTCATGATTCACATATTTTGCTGTAATAATGATCATTTAAATGTGTCTCTATCGAATTATAACTAGTCCGCGGTGTACCCGCGGGTAATCAAATAAATTAAGTAAAATTTAAGAAGTTAAGAAAGGAAGACACTGTCAAATAAGAGAAAATATAATTGTAATAGGGAATTTGTATGACTTGAAAATAGTATATTTCGTAACAAGTGCTGAGAAGTGATTTTTAACGCGTGGGAGTTTTATAAGATGAGCCGAAGGCGAATGGTATAATCCTAAATGCTAAAAACAACTCTCTGCACTAGTTATGAACGATATATCTCGTCGCGATGTGCGGGAAAGTCACATTGACAGTTACTTTTCAGCGCATTGTGATGAAAAAATTATTTCCTTATTCTGACTCTACACCATCTACCGCTCAAATGCCCAGGAAGCAATACTTTTTTGCAGTTTAATGAACTGATAATTATTTTTCTGAAAAAAAAAAACATTCTTACTCTCCTCACAACTCTCCCAGATCCCACAGATGGAGTTCACTATCCCAAGTGTCATCTCTCTCGAATCGCTCCTGCCAACGAGCAATCCTCGCTTTCTCCTCATCCTCACGATCTTGTGCTTCAATCGCCGCCACATCAGCATCATCTTCAGCATTTGCGAGAGGTGAGAACACAGGGCTTGGGGAGAGCAAAATATTGGATTGCCTGTCCCATGTGGCATTCCCGTAGGGTCCTGAGGAAAAATGGGGATGAGGATTGGGCAGTGAAGAAGTGATTACTGAAGGGGCTACGGAAACTAAATGATAAGGGACAGACAGTCCTGGTGATTGGTAGGAAGTGTAGCCTGAGGATGTAGGAATCGTTTGGCAGAGTGATTCATTAACTTTTGATAGCCTCCAGGCTGGTTCAGGGTAGCAGACAGGCAGTGTAGCAGCACTTGTTTGTAAAGCAGTTTGATTCAATGAGCTTCTTTTATCCAGAGCAGACAGGCAGCAAAATGATGTAGATGTTTGAGACTTGGCATGTAATTTCGCAACTCTGCCAACCACCTCTGCAATTGTAAGTGCAGATGGTTGGAGCAATATTGTTCTTCGGCTTGCCTCCAAATGCTTTTGATTCTGGTCAACAGAATTGATGCTACCACGCCGTCTAGCGCGACGTCTCATTCTTGACTTCACAGCTGCTTCCCTGCATCTCGCATCAGTGTGTCTTTGATCCTGTCTGGGACAATTGGCTAATTCTGCTCCCCACGTGCCACAAATGACGCAGAATAGTCTTTCTGTTGTGCTCGTACAGTTTAGGTATCTATGTCCAAAGCCGTGACATTTATAGCACTGGATACCATGATGTCTCTTCTCCGAAATCTCTTGATTCCTTCTGGACGAATTTCTAGGAGGTTTTGCATTCTTGGCTGATGGAACTGAACTTGAGGGATTATTTGTTGAATTACCAGCAGAAAGCTCAACAGACTGCTTTGCAGATTGATTATCTTTCATTCTTTCGACCTGAAGTTCATTTTCCACTCGTCTTGACTTTCTGGAGGTTTTCTTAACGTTCCAATCGTAAATAATCTCTATTTGTAATGAGGAATTCACGTCGATGAAATTACGAGCCTGGGATTTCGAGGAAACAATGGGAGGTGAGGGTTTCTTGATGACAGGTGACGTTTGAGCCGATGAGGGCGGAGTCTTCGGGATCATCTTCAATAAAATTGATCCAGCATTGTTGGGAAGGAAGTAACGAAACTCTCCGGTTTCCCCATTATTTTTCTCTGTCTCTTCTTGCACTTTCAACTGTAACTGAAAGATTGAAGGCGAAAAATTCTCGATCGTCTATTTTAACGATGCGAGGGATTGCATGAAATATTTTGATAGTCATGGGATGAATAAATGAATAAACAAGTCAGCAATTAAAAAGGAAAAGCCGGAGCAAGACTAATACTTCAGTCATTTATTTAATTCTCGTCATTCAGACAGAAGGTCATTAATTTATTTGATTATTTTTATTATCATTTAAGTGTTATCATTTTCGTGTATTTAGGATGAAACGAGATAATTCCTGTTTCTAACCTCTTCTTGGTTGTTTTGGCCTAGAATTTGCCCCCTAGACAATTGGAATTCCAGATTCAACAATACCAGCAATTTTTCGTGGCAAAAAGACAACCAGCTTTTATTCGTCATGAAATAATCTCAAGCCTAATGATGTAATGCACAAGTTTTTAGTTAAAGAACTGTATTATGCGATCTCTCATTCCATCTCCGCCAGATTCAAAAGGTAAATCTAAATATTTTGCAAATTCTATGAAAACTCAATCAGATGAAAAACAAAAAGATACTCGAAATGTATGAGGGATGTCGATACATGCAATAAAATATATTATTTACACATTTTAACATTAAAATATGTAAATCTGAGATCCGACTCACCGACATTTTGTTGTAAAAAGTATTTATTTGATTGAGTCGTTTTAATATGCGTCTTTGATTTTTCAAATTCTATTTTGAAGAATTCTAGATTAGCTAATCAATGATTTTCGAAATACTTTCTTAACTACTTTTTTTATATTGGAAGTACCCAATCCTAAAATTGATGAGCTCGCGTGCTGTTTCGTGATTTAGAAAATTGATAATGGTTTCAATATCCGGGATTGCTGTATCGACGTGACAATAGCTAATTATGATAATGTGCAAATAGCCAATGATAAGGAGAATACACGACGCGCTCTGTGCAAATTATATTTTAAAAGACAAAATCTGTTTTTATTTGTATTTTATGTGATTCTTAATGCAGTACTCTCAAAGACTTTAGAAAAATTCTGAAATGTAAAGAAAACACTTTTCGAAGACTGTAACAGAAGGACTCAGAAAAATTCAATCAGATAAACATTTACATACCACTTCTAACTCAACTTCTTAACTTCTTTCCTTCTCTCCTCACCTTAAATTTATTTCGGACACCATTTTATTGAAATTCTCGTAAGTACTCGTGACATTTCACGTATTAGAGCTCATTAATGACTTCGCCACTCACTACCTCACTTTCCAATTTATTCGCTGTTCAATGCGACTTCATTGTTATCTCACAATCTCTTCTAAAGAGAAAGAACAGGTATTCACTTATGAGCCGAAGTAAATAAGTAGTGGAGACAGCACAAAATCGTTGTTACGAGTATTAAGGGTATTTTCATATATAGCCAAAATTGAAGTTTTTTCATTTTTCTGGCAAGCTTACTATCGGATTGACATGAAAAAATTAATTATCGTTAAATATAATTAGCGTTTTTGGATTTTGTCATTATTTAATGACTTTTCCACCTGTTCAACGCAATGCGGAAAACAGATATCTTGAATTCATTCATACACAATCCCGATAAAGACTAAAGGGAATTTATGAATAGCGAGAGGTTTCTCCTACAAACCACATATTCTGATAAATCTAAACTACTTCAAGGCAATTTTGTTACTCAGAATTGATTTAAACCTTTAAACCATGTAAAAACTCAAACGACCAGATAAATGAACTCTAAAAAAAAAATTAAATCGAGGTGTAGTAGACGCAGATTTGGAAGATTTGGACATTCGTTGATGAGGTGTAAATAAAAAATTGGTCGTTCATATTTTCGCATCTAACTGTGCTTAATATGGTCCGCATTCGGAAATTCGTCCCAGCAGGTAGATCGAGATGAGGAGCAGTGGATCCAATTGGTTTGAGGTAGCTCCAAGTAAAATTTGATCGGGTAGTTTTAAGTTGATAGCAAGTTGATTGCTTGCGCCCTACTGCTTAAGGTTGTTGTCGCGCGACAGTCTCTGTAAAAAGTTTATCCGCTGTAAAACGGGCCAGTTTAGAACACAATCTTTTAGCGGTATATAGTCTCACTTGATTGATTGCATTGTGCATGGATAGCTAAAGCATAACTATATATTTTCCATATTAACTATTTTCAATTATATAAATTTATGAATTTCCGATAATTATATTCCGTAAACCAAACGGTCAATCGATTTGATTTTTTTTTCTGTATTTCCTCCCACGATGTATATTCCACGTTTTTTTTTTATTTCTGAAACTGTCGAGCCGTTGATTTTTAAAAAATTCTAATCGGCAAAACTCCATTTAAACACGTGTTAAATCACTCGAATTTCAAAAATTTATATCTCAAGTTCAAAACGGTCAATTGCAAACGAAAAAGGCTCATTTTGTTGCTAATTTTTCAAACTATTCACCATAAAATTTTTAACGAAAACTGTCGAAAAAAAATTCTACGCGACAACAACCTTAACGAAAACGTACTGGAGAAACTCTATGTCGATACTGATTCGCAGGTATATCACTTGTAGAAGATGAGGACTGCTCTTGATGATTAATAAATACTGCTGCAGATTTTTGAGGTTCGTATCTTTTATTGGTCAGAACTGGGGTACCTGCACGGTATGCGGGGCTATCAGAGAGGGCAAGAAATTCCTTGGACCCATCACGTGCTTTTTTCATATCACTGCTTACTCAGCTCTTTGGAAACTCCTGTTCGGCAAGTTTAACAGATATGGCTGTGTGTATTTCGTTCGTTTTATGGAATTTTTATTCTGCTTGAGTTGACTCTCTGTTCTTTTTCTGGGAGCCTGTTAACGCTTAGTTAATTACATGGAGAGAAATATTTAGTAAAATTGCGGAATTTTCAGTTGGTATGCCGATTACGAAATCGACTCGAAAAATTTAAGTGGCGGTATCGTAATTTTTCACAGATAATTCAGATAAAAATCACGAAAAGCCGCAGAAAAATTCCGTGAAATTAGATAAAAATTACGTGACAGTTCCGTAAAATTTCCTACAACCACAAAGACATGTAATTTTTATTGAATATTTCTCTCCGTGTATCCGTTGTGATACATGTGGCCCTCTTATCTCTTTCCACACTAGGTGCGTGACATAAAATCTCTGAATGTCCGCTTGGTAGTCAGCATTCGGAATTATCCATCTATTCATACGGAGAAACGCTGTCCATTTATTTTTCCAAGAAAATACCTGATCCACGATAAGTCAATTGATAGACGGTCAAGCTGGATTCTCCGAAAATTTGAAAAACGTAAATCATACCAAAAAAATCCTTAATAATAATATACATCATCGAATGGCCTTGAAATTGTAATTGGCTCTTATTTAGCAAGCCTATTTTCTCAATACTAAATGTATCACGTTGTTAAAGAATTAAAAAATTGATTTTTTTCAAAGCCAACATTCAAATAACAATTGAATGATTTTTAACAAGGCAATTATCATTTCAGGTTATCATTCTGTGATCCGAGGAGGACATTCGTTAGTCTTAATTGCTATTTAAATAAAAAAATGTCTATATTACCCCATGCTCCTCTACAACAAATCGTGCGTTTGCATTTGATAAATGTTCTTTGAGAACATATTCATGAGAATCAGTCATAGCATTTTCTGTGAGATTCACTCATTGGAGAAAAATTCAGAGAATAAAATAAGGTGGATAAGTTGAACATGATATTTTCGTTGATCAGTAAATTATGTAGAGGAGGAAATTGCTTGAAGAAAATGCTTGAAGAAAAGGATCTCATGCATGACAGATTATTTTATTTTTTTTGCAAAGAACCCTCGAGCGTTCCTAGGCCCTGCCATAATAACTTTCCAGAACAATCGTTATCTACGATAGGAGCTCGGATAATCATTCAGGTTAAAATGACCCCGGTGAAAGCTCATAATGTGCAACACGACCGATGAAATCAATTGATGTTACGTGTTCTTGTGGCAACGGTAGCCAATCACCAACATGAGATAACTGAATGAGATATGAAAAACCGTTCTGCACGCACGAATTCAATTTGAACTTGAGGTCAGTTCCCGTTTCCTCTTGAAATTAAGACTATATTGCTGACTCCCCGTCACTTTCCTTTTTTTTTCGCTGATTCTCCGTGAAATATTGCTGAAATTAATGCGAAATAACTTTCTAACTTTTCTATGATATATCAATTTGCATAATAATTTAACTGTTTTTTTATTTTTTATGTTTTTCTATATTTTTTTAATTTTGTGAATTCTCAAAAAAATTTAAGGAAAGACAGACAAGCTATACACCAGTGATATTTCGTAAGTCATTGATAGAAGATTAAATTGAAATTGAATGATCCCAAAAAAATTCTAACAAATTCTAATTAACATTAGACGGATTATTGTTTAATTGAAATTGTAAAAAGAAGCTCAGAAGTTTGTATTTAATTCACGACAGTTCACCGTCGTCCTTTCGTTAAATTAATATCATGTGTTTAATAGAAAGTAAATACTTAAAGAATGCAATGACTTACTTCTGATGACGCAGATACACTCTGAACAATGAATCCAAATTAAAGAACACGTTGGCCGTTTGACTGAAGCTTTGGCTATTAGAGTAACAAATTCGAGCGAGTGCACTAATTAACTTATCATTAATAGTCGCTCTTGTCAAATACTCGGACAGTGTCAAACACTAAGGTATGTACCTTATTTGACACATGAGATTGTTCAGAGTCATAGAATCTCACTGTAAAAGATAGTTCAGTACTATCAGTCGATGATATGGTGCGAAGAATGAGTGAGAGTAGTATACTGTGAAAAAATTTATCAATCTTTATTTACAGAAGATAAAATACAGTAGATCATCTATTTCAAGGTCACGGAATCTAACAATTAGTATAGAGGTACTATACTATCTTTATTGATGATGTGCTGTGAAGAGTGAAGCATTACTTTATGAAAAATTTGGCAATCCAGTTTAACCAAGAATAAATACACTACGGCATGTACTTCGACTGAAAAATAAGATGTTTCAAGGTCATGGAATTTAACTGTCAAAGGTAACTATAGTATTTTTATTGATTATATGGTGCAAAGGGTGAAGGAGAGTATTATTTTGTGAAAAATTAAGCAATCTATGTTTAAGAAAGATAGAAGGATGAGGGGGTGCAGTAATATAATACTTTTTTGACAATAGCGTTGTCTGTTGGGAATAGGGGAGTGGGGGAGTGGGGGAGTGGAGGAGTGGGGGTAAACGTTGGCCGTTTGACTGTATCGTTGGTTATTAAGGTAACGAATTCGAGCGAACGGACTAACGCGTTGGGTGGTCCACGGTCTCTGGCTGTTTATGGGCCACTGCATCTGCTGGGTCCCGTATAGACAGGCCAACACACACAGCATAGGAGTCGAGGAGAGGAAAACCTCTTCCTGTGTGGTCCCAACCCGGGACGTTTGCGCTGCTATATAACCTGCCTGTCTGACTTTACATTCGATTCGCTACTTGCTAATGACAGTTGCATTAGCATCGCACGGTTACACGGAGAATTCTAGGGAGTCTCATGGGAAAATTGATGCATGAGACCGGGTGTTATACTTGTAGATTTAAGTTATATACCTGCACTCAGGAAATTATTTTATTATTTTCATTTGCACGAGTAGGTAATTTATGCATGTTATGTTGATTATTCCGAGGTAATTGAGTGTGAAAAATCAATGATTGGGATTTTCAACGTGCAGTTGTCGTTAAATTCAATGCTTCGCTAATGTTTTATAGAGAGATTAAAATACTGGAGGAAATGTTTCTAACAAAAATTTGAATCGTTTGATTGAGGACGAGTGAATTATTCAATAATATTTCAAACTCATCAAATTTTTTTGGCATTATTGGAGGTATCTATGAATTTGTTATCG